TTTACTCATCTAACCTACACGCTATATTGAATAAAGGTTTTGCAGTAATTTCCCTCATTTTAAAGTCGAAAGCTGCAGGAATGAGTAATGCGATGCATGCGCAATCCCGCAACGAAATTCAGGATCTGATTAAACATAATTCTATTATACAGAGAATTGTGAAATAGATTTTCATGAATTTTCAAAAACTTTTTGAGTTTATTTATTTTTTACAAAACTTTCTAGGCCTGCAAAATTGCTGTTCAATGACTTTTCCAGGTTTTTCATGACCATACGAACCCTAATGTGATGATCGGGTGCGGGTCGGGTGTGGTTATCTAAATCAGACAAAAATACAGGTGCGGGCGGTTGGCGGGTGGATAATTTAGCTGCGGATTCGGGTGACGTTTTAGCTCATCCGCGCATCACTAACGGGTATACTCTGGAACGATTAACCAGGCCGGGTGTGATCTAGAAAGCTCAGCCCGCTTTAGCCTTGGGTTATTGTTGACTTCTCTATAAGCATTGGTCGCTTATGGAAGTTATACCTTTCGTCGTTCCACTACATTAGCACGGTGTGATGGGACTGTTCCCATATGCGTCTAGCAAGACGCAGTACGAGTGAAGTATCGAAAGGGAACGTACTCAGTTACTAACGTAACCTCGGTTCCCTGAGATACGGGAGCGAGTACTGCGTTGCTGGCCGTGCTATGTAGCTGCACGACTCAGTCGTCGCTTCAGTCGAAGTAAACCTGAGAATCCTGTGGCGAGCGCCCGCTTAAATAGCCAGATGCCCCGCCCATTCTGGCGGGCTTTGGCGGGCTTCGTCGCCATAGTCTCGTGCAACTCCACTGCCGCGCCATTGGTTCGTTTTTAAAGCCCTGCACGAACCAATGGCCATGCAGTTTCACTGCGTGAATGAAATAGGCTTCAATTCAAGAGAAAAAAGTTTTTTTCCCCATATGCGTCTAGCAGACGCAGTACTCGTTCCCGTATCTCAGGGAACCGAGGTTACGTTAGTAACCGAGTACGTTTTCCCAAATCTGCCTGTTCTTGTGTGTTCAGTATGGCTACAGTAGGAGTGGATGTGATTGAGACAGCAGCTCTAGGGAGACCCTTCCAGCTGGGGATGCTGTATGACTGCAGGAAAGATGCTCTCATACCAGGTACCATACCGTAATACAAAATTTAATCTGACTCAGATTTGTTGAAGTACCCCAAAGTGTGAAAATTTAAAAGATGCAAAGCTTCCAGACTCTGAGAAATGACCCAAGTTGGCCGAATTATCTGACACAAGTGGAATGCTTCATTGTTTGCTTTTGTTTACTCTAAAAACCTGCCATTATCCACCAGATTTTTAACGTAAGAGAGTCACGGCCATTTGTAACTTATTAACTTAATGTAATGCATTAGACTTTGCATTCAGTTATTTTAGCTGAAACATCTGTTATAATGCTTGATGTTGCAAACTACTATTTCACATCATATATTTTACATTTATTATCGTAATCATAAATATACTGGTTTGTAGTGCAAACAGTTTTATAGTTTACTGAACTTTGTATTCTTCTTGTCACTACATCGACATAACGTCAAGTGAGTGACAGATAGGGAACATCAGTATGTTTGAATAAAGCGCCGGACATCACTTTTGGCCACGACTGTATACTGTTACACATGTGGCATAAAGTATATGGATCATGCGTGCCTTAGTGTCTTTACTGCTATTGGTTTCTGTCACATTACTGCTCATTTTTCTTAACTTCTTTGCACTATTGGTGACCTCATCACACCATCAACAGTCACCGATGCTCATGTCACTTCATCACTAAATCGCTGTGTGTGTGAATGGACCTAAAGTGGATTTTAAGTGGATTCGCAATTCTTCCCCTTTTATTTTTGCAGGAATCACACTGTGGGATCCAGAGAAGCTCCAGCAGAGTTTACGAACTCGTCCCCAAATTAACACCGATTTCAAAGTAACAGCTTCAGACTCCATTGAGGACAAATCAAGCTTACTGAACATCGACGGCTCTCTGAAACTCAGTCTTTTAGGTGGACTGGTCAGTGTGACAGGAGCAGCCAAATATCTCAACGACACCAAGAAGTCTTTCAGACAGCAGAGACTGACGCTGCATTATCACTCAACCTGCAGGTTTGAAGAACTGACCATGAGTCACTTGGCACCTGAAAATATCATTCATCAGCTCGTGTTTGATAATGACACAGCGACACACGTGGTGACAGCGGTGCTGTATGGAGCAGATGCCTGCTTTGTGTTTGACAGAGAAGTTTCATCAGATGAGAACAAAAATACAGTAGAAGGAGAAGTAAATGCGGCCCTTGACAAGCTCAAATTCATTTCAGTAGATGTGAAGATCAGTCTGAAGATGAATGACGCTCAGAAGAATGCAGTCCAGAAATTCACATGCACGTTTTATGGCGATTTCCAGTTACCGTCTAACCCGACGAATTTTGAAGATGCTCTGAAGGTTTTCACGGATCTTCCAAAACTTCTGGGAGAAAAGAAAGAGCTTGCGGTTCCTCTGAGAGTTTGGCTTTATCCTCTGGACAAACTTCACTCAAGAGCTTCAAAACTTCAGAAGGACATCAGCATGGATCTAATCCTAGAAACTGAATCAGTGGTTGAGAGATTAAATACAGCTGAGATGAGATGCCGTGATCTTCTGAAAGACTCACCTGCTTCGTCTTTTACCGCATTTCACGATACAATTCTGCAAATGAAGCAAAACTGCTATAAGTACAAACTGAAGCTCACGAAGAGACTCGGCTCTCTGCTGCCAAACATCCGTGGAGACGTGATGAAGGAAACAGCACTGAATGAACTTCTACAAGAACATGAGGAATCTCCTTTCAGAAGATCTGACCTTGCAGAATGGCTGAAAGAGAGAGAAAGAGAGTCTGAGATCGTTAAATCAGTCCTCAGACAGCTGAAAAATGCTGGTGCGCAAGTAGAAGTCAACATAGACCTGATTTTGATGGATCTGGAAGTTGGAAATCTGGCCTGTTTCATGTTCACATCATTGAACTGGTCAGACATGCTGCTTCTTCAACAAAAGGCCTGTTTGAGTCCTTCAGCAAAAGGAGGAAATGATGAGAGCAGCCCTGATCGAAAGCAAAAGTCTTGGCTCAGTCCTGAGATCCAAAAGACCATGAGGAGCAACCTGAAGATGTTTAAGAACTTGATCGATTTGGATGACAGTACATCAAACATGTTTATCGTGTCCTCAAGAGAAATGAAGAATAATTCAGGTTCCTGCATTCTGCTGTATGAAAGTGAATGTGATGAAGCTGTTTGCTTCATTCCTCCATCTCCGCCAGCCTGTCCAGTCATCGAAGAGGTCAAAGAAAACACCGTAGTTGTAAAGGTTCCTCCATCGTGTCCTGATACAGTGGAGATCAAGTTACTGTATAAACCGAAGCAGGACTCAGTCTGGACATCTGAACCTGTGAAGAAGGATCAAGACGTAGTTACTCTGACTGATCTGAGATCAGGAACTGAATACGAGATCAAATGTGCAGCGCTGGGGAAACTCAACTACACCACAGACAGTGACGTCATTGAAGTTACCACAGAGGTATGATCATCATTTATCAAATATCAACTGAAGAAAATGATGCTCATTTTTTTTCAATCAATCAAACATAAATATGCCGCTTTATGAGAATAAGTAGATTACTTCTCATCTTTGTTATCATTTGCGGCATGTTGTTAATTAGTATCACATTTTTCTTTCAGAGAAGAAACCGATCAGTTATGGGTGAGTCTTTTTTTTCAGTTTGATCACTTTTCCAGTTATCTACACAATTGTTTGTTTGGTTCTTACTAAATTAAATGGGTTATTTATAATGCGTAATATGTATTGGAATGATCTTCTAATGGTCTTATTAGGTCATTTTTTTTTACAAGTTACGATTATACTTACTTTAATAGTTCATGTTACTGTGGCTTTAGATGATAAATATCTAAAATCATAGATTTTAGAGACGTATACTGTACTAATAATACGTTTCTCTTTTAAGCATACTGTGGCTTGATGAATCAGGGAGCAACCAGCTACTTGAACGCAGTTCTGCAAACACTCTACATGACTCAGTCCTCAGACAGCTGAAAAATGCTGGTGCGCAAGTAGAAGTCAACATAGACCTGATTTTGATGGATCTGGAAGTTGGAAATCTGGCCTGTTTCATGTTCACATCATTGAACTGGTCAGACATGCTGCTTCTTCAACAAAAGGCCTGTTTGAGTCCTTCAGCAAAAGGAGGAAATGATGAGAGCAGCCCTGATCGAAAGCAAAAGTCTTGGCTCAGTCCTGAGATCCAAAAGACCATGAGGAGCAACCTGAAGATGTTTAAGAACTTGATCGATTTGGATGACAGTACATCAAACATGTTTATCGTGTCCTCAAGAGAAATGAAGAATAATTCAGGTTCCTGCATTCTGCTGTATGAAAGTGAATGTGATGAAGCTGTTTGCTTCATTCCTCCATCTCCGCCAGCCTGTCCAGTCATCGAAGAGGTCAAAGAAAACACCGTAGTTGTAAAGGTTCCTCCATCGTGTCCTGATACAGTGGAGATCAAGTTACTGTATAAACCGAAGCAGGACTCAGTCTGGACATCTGAACCTGTGAAGAAGGATCAAGACGTAGTTACTCTGACTGATCTGAGATCAGGAACTGAATACGAGATCAAATGTGCAGCGCTGGGGAAACTCAACTACACCACAGACAGTGACGTCATTGAAGTTACCACAGAGGTATGATCATCATTTATCAAATATCAACTGAAGAAAATGATGCTCATTTTTTTTCAATCAATCAAACATAAATATGCCGCTTTATGAGAATAAGTAGATTACTTCTCATCTTTGTTATCATTTGCGGCATGTTGTTAATTAGTATCACATTTTTCTTTCAGAGAAGAAACCGATCAGTTATGGGTGAGTCTTTTTTTTTCAGTTTGATCACTTTTCCAGTTATCTACACAATTGTTTGTTTGGTTCTTACTAAATTAAATGGGTTATTTATAATGCGTAATATGTATTGGAATGATCTTCTAATGGTCTTATTAGGTCATTTTTTTTACAAGTTACGATTATACTTACTTTAATAGTTCATGTTACTGTGGCTTTAGATGATAAATATCTAAAATCATAGATTTTAGAGACGTATACTGTACTAATAATACGTTTCTCTTTTAAGCATACTGTGGCTTGATGAATCAGGGAGCAACCAGCTACTTGAACGCAGTTCTGCAAACACTCTACATGACCCAGGAATACAGAGAAAGCGTTGTGAGGTAAAGAAATCACTCCCGCTGCTTCTGTTTGTTTGTCAAATAATCTTTAGCATAATAATCATTTGACGTGTTTAGGCTGGAGAGAAGAGATGATTCGCCTGATGGTGATTTCATCGAAGAGCTGAAGTCTCTGTTTGATCAATTAGACAAAGAGTCTCATCCAGTTTCAACAGCCGCAATCTCAAAGAGCCTCGGCATCACAGATGGTTGGTCTCTAAAAAATGTTTTTTGTATGATCCAGCAGACAAAAAAAATACTGTTTTGCTGTTATATGTCGTTGTTTATATGCTTCTTTCCCATAAAAAATCAGTTTATAAAGAAGAAGATGCAGCAAAATATCTAGAATTGATTCTGATCAGGACTCCCAAATCTTCTGAGGTAAATCAAATGCACTTGAATGGTTGTAATTCCTGAGTGCTTTGGAATACTGACCTCTGGTTGGTCTCTTTTTAAAGAAGACTCTCAGCAGATTATTGCTGAAGTGAAAGCATTTAAAAAAAAAAGTATAAAAGTTTACAGTAAAGAAAATGTACTCTACTAAATATATATATATTTTTAATTTTATAAAATATTTTGCACTCTAAAATTGCTATAAAATCAAAGCCATATGTCTAACAGAGTTATGTTCCAAATTTGAAGTTGTTACAAAAATTGAGATTTTGTTTTGGGTGCTGTACCAAAAATGACCACCGGGTAACAAATTGATGCCGTTTTCTATCACAAATAAATTTCTGTCACAATATCACTTCTATCACAAAACAGTCACCAAATGTGGAACCTTGACTGTCAGAACTTTCCAACGATATGCGTTTTGTCAAGATTAAAAAAAAAGATTTGATTGTAAAATAGTAACTTTTGTAATATGAAACTTGACAGCATCCACTAGGGGGAGGAGCTAGCTTATTCTGATTTAAAGTACTGTTTCCATGGTAATGCAATGTCTGATTTAAAAATGGTTTCGCAGGATGAATTTTGAATTTTTAAGCTTTCGAATGATGAAAACGGTGACAGTTAAGGGGTTTAAATGCAAAGCAACGGTCTAATATGAAGAACAGTAAGATGCATATAATGGTCACATTTTGGTGTTATTTAATAGGCAATTAAATCATCCGTTTCCAAAGATCATTAATAAAGTCTTGTCTTGACACTGTAGATTTTTAAGGGCTCTGTGGAGAAAACCAGTAGATGTGATTCATGCAAGCAAATAATATCAGAACGGCGAGATTTCTTCACAATGAGCATCTCTCTATGTGAATCAAGAAATGTGGTAAGTGCATTGCTGTTCAGCTCTGAATAATTCTGAATTACGTTTCTTAAAGAGTTAGTGCACCCCAAAATGAAAACCAATCAGAACTGGTATCGATGTGATGACAGCCATGTATTTCAGGTACGTACATACAGGGCTACATATACATTTATTTGTTAAATATCCATGTAGTCCTATTTTATTAACCAATGTCTTGCTGCTGACTTTCGATGATTCAGTTCAACCATACTAATAAGCAAAAATGACTTTAGTTTCTTTCTTTTTTTATTGCTTAAAGAGTGTTGAACTTAACTTCTCTTCTGCTCTAATGCATTACTTTCCATAACAAGTAACTTAAGTATGCAATTAGTTACTTTTTTAGGGAGTAACGCAATATTGTAACGCATTGCTTTTAAAAGTAACTTTCCCCAACGTCTTCCCACATGCTTACACATATATTGTATATAATGTTAGGTCAAATCAAGCCTCCGTGTCAGAAAAATCAGATCCAGCCCCAGATCCTGCCAGAAAATATCAGTTTTGTCTGGTATTCAACCAGCTTTAGAAAGAGTTGTCTAATAACAATATTCTTTAATAGTAAATGAAGGCTAATGAGCTCAGGACAGGTGCAGATGATTAACAACTAAGGAAACTAATGAGAACATGAACAGAATGAGTTTCACTAAATGAAAACAAAGGTTCATAACTGTGACAATAATGAGTACCTTCTACATACTTGTATGAAGAAAAGATTTTAGTGGACTTAAAAATTTGCTTTGCTTAAAAAAAGAAAGAAAATATACTGTTCATGTTAGTTTTGAATCAAATACAATATGATTGCGGTAATCAAGATCTGGCAGCAACAGCACATTTTTCCACTTATATATACACATGCAAATATTGTGACAAACATAGTTTGAAATGGATTAATAGATATGTCTTCATGTCTTGAAAGATTTGCTAGAACTTCAATTGTTCAGGCTTAAAGTTTGCAGATTCCTCAGTGTAATTAATTAATGAACAGTAGTCATATATGTATACATTTGACTGTACATGCACTAGTGAAAATATAATAAGTGTGCGTAATATGTCATATTGTGTCTCACATTTTATGTTTCTTCAAAACTTTTTTTCAAAGATTCCTGACAAGATGTTTTCAGAAAAAGCCAATGTATTTCAGAGGATTAAAGAGTTGCTTTCTTCTTCATCTTCAGATTCATACTATTCACACAGGTACCAGACATTGCTATACAAACTACTGTATTCGTGGGTGTGATTTTGTACATTGCTACTTGAATGCATTATAAAGTGCGTCTTTATTCGCAGCTCTGCCTATCTACTCTTGTACAAAAAGCGGTGAGTATCAAGTGACTTTTTGCTGCATGAATAATGAATCTTTATTACAACTGCTAGTGATAAAAGCCTTTTTACCAAAGTCTGTGTTTTATTCTATCATTTGGATTTAGAGTTCAGAGTTTTCCCAAAATGAACAAACAAACATTGTATTTGTTATTTGCTTCCTCATTGTTCATCCAGCTTTTCTGCATTTTGTTTTCCACAGGGATTGACTGAATCAGTAAACTGACACAGAGCAGAATATCGTCATTTAGGGTGATACATGCTATATAAGCAGAATTGAACCAGGCTCGAAGGCTTCCAGTAAATGACTGTGAATGTATTTGTAAATCTCTCTGCTCAACAGCTGGTGATTTGAAACAGGTGCGTCACAAACATATATAAATGTCGTGCTGTTGCCAGGATTAAGAAGGACTGGTCTGCGTACTGTATTTGCTTTGAAGATAATTTTCAGTATGAATATTGATGTCATTTATTTTCATGCATGTACTGACATATTTAATAGGCATCGTATTAATCAAACTATATAATGATTAAGTGTTTATAAGGGAAGTCCCATTATCTGCTGATGCCTATGTAGAATTATTATCAGTTACACTGCTGTACAAGGATGTAGTTTGGAATGATATGTATTCATGTAAAGGAGTAGTCATTTTTATTATATCAAAAGTCAGTATTGTGACCACATAAGATGAAATATGTCACACATATACTGTATATTTGTGTGTTACATAAAATAACCAGACACCTGATTGTGGCAAATACACTGACTGTCATCTGTGTTTACATAAGGAAATATAAGTCCGTGTTATACCAATATACTACTGATACCCCGGGGACATTGTTTTTCTTAAGGGTTTTTTTTTTATTTTGATAAAAAAGGGACAATACAAGATTAGGATTGTCTATTAAAAGACCAAAAGGCATTTTCTATGATCTGTAACCGCCATTTGAGACACAAGGTGGTGCCAAATACCTGTGTTAGTATGAAGCGAAAGAATGAGATAATAATTAATAGCAGCAGTGTCTCAGTTATACAGTCCTTATTCAGAAGTATTTGACCTCTGAATGCTGAAATAATCAAAACTCATCAGAATCGAGTTTTGATTAATGACAACTCAAATTCATGTCAACACATGAAAGCTCAAATATTCGTTTAGAGCAGTGGTCGTGATCGACTGGTAGATCTTTATCACTGTCTCAGTAGATCCCGAAAATAAGTACAAAAATGCATTACATTTCTGGGGTTATATTAATGTATCACTGAACGGTTCATAAGCAGTGTTGCCAAGTCTGTGGTTTTCCCGCGGAATTGGGCTACTTTAACACTGTTGCCGCGGGTTGAAGCGACTCCAATAACGTGATATTTAGTCCCTGGAATGTGAATTTTACTGGAAGGTCCCCGCCGAAAAACATGTATTTACCCCCGGAATGCGATTTTTACAGGGGAACCCTCCTCGAAATGTGATTGGACTAGTTTTATTGCAAAAACCTGGCAACCCTGTTCATAGGCGCCACCTGAGGCCTGTTCTTCGTACGTTGCTTATTACATCCGAGATGAAACGTCATAATATGCCCATAATATGTCACCACTCAAATTAATGCACAACTCTACATTATCTGTGTAGCACGTGTGTAAGACTCGAATACAAGTATGAAGTAATCATTTTATGACGAATAAATCTTTCAGTGAGTACAACTGGCTGTGTCTGTAGTATTAAAGACTACACAACATTATATCTTTAATTTTTAAATTATTGTCCCTGGATTAATAGGGTGCTCTTGTAATAAAGTAGCGGTGGTAGAGGACAGATTAAGTATCAATTCTGCTTAAAATGCCATCTAATCCTGTTTACATGAAATAAGCCTGCTCCCGAGGTTTAAGCTTGAGGACCTGTTGCTACGACAGCAACTTCGAAGAACCAAACAATCCAAGATCACGCCAAATCATCAACAATCACATCCAGCTAACAGAGTTAGCCACGTACGAAGAACGGGCCCCTGGTGTCAGAGAGCGAGTTTCATTCAGACCTGCTGTTTTCGTTTCGTGCAGATGTTTTATGTAGCAAATAAACAGCTGCGCGTGCAGACCGTGATTAAAATGCAGTGGTTGCCTCTAATTTCAAATGGCTAGATATTTTTGCTTAAAGCCAGTTTGTTTGTTATAAAGCAAATAGCCAATAAATAAATTTGCTTAAATATCAGTATCAGCCAATTTTCTAGTTAAAAAAAAGAAAGAAAAGAAAATAAATTCTGAATCCGCTATGATCGGCGCATCACTAATTAAAATACTTAGTAAAAGGCCTCATATTTGAAGCACAATCTGGGATGTCTTTTTCTATCAGTTCTTCAATAGGTAGATCTTGTCTTTCATAAAGGCAGAGGTCAGGGATCTTGGGCCTAAAAAGGTTGGTGACCACTGATCTAACCCTAAACCTACTCCTTACAGAAAACCTGTTTGCATTGTTACACTTTCAGATAAACATAATTTGCTATTGTGTAAAATTGTAATCATTTACTATGGTCCATTGTGGGGGCCGCAAAAATTTCAGGTTTTACTGTCCAATGTAGCATAAACAAGTCCAACAATGTAGCATAAACAAGTACACACACACACACACTCAAACACTCACACACTCCCCCAAAATGCAACTGCACATTTGCCGAAGGGTATGCAAGATCAGTGTTGGCGACCCCCTGTATTCTAGTATTCTAGTAGCCACTAACACTAACTCCTGCAGAAAACTTTCTGCAAGTCAATGGCCAAAAGCCCATTAACTAGCTTGTGCATGGAAGGATACAAACTCATCAGGAGTGAAAAAAAGTGACAGGCTTGAACCCTCTTCCCCCATTTTCAATACAATAGGGGAAAAAAGTGAAAAGTAAAAAAAGAAAAGTGTGTCACATAACATCCCCTTTAACTCCTGATGGCGGACCCCAGACAGTAAAACACATTTTTTTTTATTCTTTTTTTTTTCAAACACATTTAATATAGTCTGGTAGTTTGAATATATATAGCCTATATATTATTCATTTGCACATTTTTATATATTTTATAACGAGAACACCGTAAGTAAAATTGATTTTAAAGTACACCATTTTTTCATTTTTACTTATAGAGATAATTCATGGAAAATTTGTCAAGTGGAAGATTTCTGCCAAGATTTCACCTGGTAGAAAAACCAATATTATTAAAATTAGGGCTGCGATGATAAATCGACGTAGAATCGATTCGTGGATCGATTCTGAGATTTCCGAACGCATCACGATTCTCTCAGGAATCGATTCTGATTCTGATTATCGTCGACGTTTAACGCCTCGTGACTAAACAAAGGTCGCCAATGTGAGTGTGCACACCAGAAAACGCGAGGCGTAAAAGCGTCATTTTTTAAAAAACGCCTCGGGCTCGTTTTTTTTGGTTTGACGCGCCGCGTTAAAAACTGGCTGACCAATGAGATTGGCGCTTTTGTTCACGTGCCTGGAGCTGCTGAAGTTACAGTAAAACACGACTTGGTGGCGCTCAAGCACAAAACGGTCTTGCCGAGCACACATTGATACCTAACGACAAAGAGGAAGTAATAGACCAAGAAGATGCATCGAGGCCAGGCCCGCAACCAGCCATGAGGCCACCGAGGTCCAGACCTCTTTAAATTTTTGTTTGTTAAGTGTCCCTGTTATGAAAATGATCGCTGCGAGACGCTGGCGGAGTGAACGAGGCTTGAGAGAGTTGTGAGTGAGGGCGCGGGCGCAGCCTCTGTGTTGCCAGATCCAGCTATATATTATAAGCGTTTTTGGACTTGTCTTTTCCACTTTAATTTACTATTTTTTCATTATTGTAAGGGGTAGGGTTGGGGTAGGTGTAGACGTCAATAAAACTCAATCTAACAGGTAGAAAATACAATTTCATTGTTAGTTTCTGGTCGGAGCTGTATCCCTTCTAGCCTCAACCTTAGGCTGAGTCTGTAATTTCATCTCGGCTCAGAATGCTTTTATGACGCGAGATTAATGTAAACACAGCCCACTGTGAACACCCTTGTAATTCTCTTCAACCTTTTCAAATCTTATGAGTGATTATTTTAGGTTCAAGTGTGTACAGAAACTTGGATTTTTGGATACAAGCAAGAGTACAGCTGTTTCTAAAGCATGCAGCGCCATCTGCTGTTCAAAACTAAGCTCAGAATCGACTCAGAATCGAGAAAAAATTGCGACGCTTTCGGAAAATCTCAGAAACGATGTTGAATCATCATAGGTGCCTTCCGATTGACAGGGTCCCTACGCAGTGTTCACTGCTCGCTACTCCCTAAGCACGGGATATCCGTTGAAGTGGACTTCGCTGACAATAATCGCTCATTTGGAACGCCCTGCAATGTCATCAAAGAAAATCAATGACAAGGTCATGCAGATTATGATATAACATAAATAAATATTGTAATTTATTTTACTTTCAAATTTAAACATAAAATACATATAAAATTACGTATCTAATAAATATAGTCAAAATGTATATGTTTAGACTGTTACAAATTGTAGTGGTTTCATCTCGTGCGTTTTCTTTCCCACACGCAGGTAAATAAAGTCAAATAAAAAATGACTCAGCTGTTTCTCATCGGTTTTACTTAGTTTCACCTATTCATACAAATACAATATGCAAATGTAACATTCATCACCATAACAATTCATAAATGCTCTTATTTGTATAATAATAACCACATTTATGGCAACCCTTCCATTGCAGAGCCTTTAAAACACTCTTTCAATGGCTCTGCCATCGTTAGTTCTAACTGGAGACGTGGTGCGCAATGACAGTTGGGTGATTTTCCCTCTCCACTTCCTGTGAAGTGATGTATCGATGTTCCCTTATTCCCTATGCCATTTGCAGTGCCCTTCGAACTGAACATGTTCGCTCTCTTCGGAATGGAATCTCACTTAAGATGGCGGAACACCCTGTGAAGTCCACTTCGCAGTCCACTTACGGTCGAATGGATCGCACCTCATTTCTCGATTGACGATGCATCAATTTATTTTCCCAGCCCTAATTAAAATAAATGTCATGATTCCCACTATGACCACTAGATGGAAGCAGAGGATCATTTATTGTCTCATGTACCATTCCCACTCTGTAATATAGTTCTTTTCACATGTTTTGCTAATGGATTTATATTTAGACATTATAAAATCACTATTATAGCATTTAAAATTATATTTGTTTTGTCAAAATTCAGTATTGTTTTGTATTGAAGTATAAAGTAGCAAGAATTCCCTTCCGAGGGAACTTCGAACTGACATTGGCTGTCACCGGCCAATGTTATTGTCATGTTTAGATGTATGCTTCAGACACCGATCACGTCGAAGGCGTTCCCCATAGCGACCTCTAGAGGACGCAGTGTCTCGTTCCCTTCTCAGGGACTATGGTTACATACGTAACCTGAGACGTTTTCAACTCATTGGATCTACACACAGATGGCCTATTTTGAATTCAAAACAGCAATTTTCAGCAAAAGGTGGCTAGTTTGTATCCTTGTTTATGATCTTAGTTTCTCTCACTAAATCAAATCTGAATAAAATGTATTTGTTATTGTTATTATTGTTGTTATTGCTCAGTATTGATCTAATTAAATTGTAATTATAGTTGTGAATTAGATCAATACTGAGTGAATATGACAATTTTTGTATTATTTTTGTATTACCTCCAGGTATTTTAATAAAAGGGCTCACTATAGCTTTATTGCTCAGTCAGCTTGGTTCTGGGTCTCAACACCCCCAAAATCTTGTTTTCCATCATTGCATAGGCCTACTCATGGATGAGACATGAAGATATCTACATAGTTCAAAGTTTAGTCAACCTTCACTGAATTTTATATAATCAATGAACTCGGTCAATATTTAACATTTTATTAGTTGTCAAAATGAATTCATTGCAACCAGAGGCGTAGCGTCTGGGTATGCAGGTGCATATGGGCCCGGGAAGATTTGGGGCCCGCTGAGCCGAGGGGGAACTTTTAATTGAAACGAGGGAACGAACAGAGCCTTGCACTGGTCCGACCCTTGTCCGACAGCAGCCCGAGTCCGATTGGAGCCTGTGTCTTTTTTCTCTCTCTTTCTTTCCCACACAGTTGCTGCTGCTGCAGCCATTAGTTCAGTTTTTTATGGCAAAGTGGTTATATTTTCTGTATTAAGTTCATTTAGAAATATGTTTGGAACATTTTCTGTTTATTAAATTCAAGTTTCATTTTTTTTTTTAAAGTAACGACCAAGTGGCCAGAGGCAGCCAGTGAGTTGAGCATATGTTTGATTAATTTAGCCTTCTCAAATCATCACGACTTGCCTAAAATCAAATCTACAGATTAAAAAAAAAAAAAAAACACTTCATGCTTTTCAAAATATTAATAAAAAAATGTAACCTAGATAAATGTAAGTAATATATTCCAAATGGTAAATACTAATTTATACAAATGATATTAAAATTTCTGTATGCCATTGTTTCTTGTCAACATATCCACAGATACTTATGAAGAAAAAAAAAGGTTGTTCTAGCACACTCTAAAAAATGCTGGGTTAAATACAACCCAGTGCTGGGTAAAATAGGGACAAACCCAGCAATTGGGTTGGTTTGACCCAGCGGTTGGGTTACTACCCAGAAGATTGGGTTAAACATTTAACCACCCGCTGGCTTAAACCAACCCATTTGCTGGGTTTGTCCCTATTTTACCCAGCACTGGGTTGTATTTAACCCAGCATTTTTTAGAGTGCATGTATTCACCACTAGACCAACACAAAATAACACATTTTTAAACACTGCTATAAACATTTGGGCTAATTTAAGTAGCATAAACAATATTTGTTTAATTTTAGATTTGTATTATTTCGTGTTTGATTGACAGGCGATCTGACAGAATTATACTAAAAAACAGTTACACCTCAAAAGAGAAAGGCGAGCACATTTTATTATTATTATTATTTTACTTATTTATTTAGCCTATTTTAATTTCTTTTAGCCTAAATGTTTTTGCAGATGTCCACCATATGACCCCTTTAAAATGCTATGTTCATTTTTATCAATGTTATACATTTTTCGGGTTATGCCAAGCTCCATAAATTATTATATTGGGCAAAAAACATGAGGTTGAGAACCACTGACCTTTGTCCAGATGTCTCTCTTCTTCTTCTGCAAAGAAAGTCGTTCGGCTTTTATTTTGGAAGGACACACAGCGGAAGTTAACGAGTCATTTCAACCAAACACTATACATTAGGGAAACACAATACTGGTCTATGTCATGCTTGTTTAACAGAAGAATCTGTGGAACACGTTATGATGATATATACAGCATATGAAAGAGAAAGGGATCAATTAAAGAATTTTCATTAAGTAGTTTTCTGAATGATGGTCCAAATGCAGGAAAACAAATAAGTGCAATCATGAGATGTATGAAGAATTGTGGAATAATGAACAGAATATCAGGTTTAGCTGGAAGCGGTGCATTCTCTTCACACTCCAGCACAGTAGGTGGCGGTATGCACCTGTGAAGTTGGTTCGCAATGTCAACGCAACCCGCCATGAAACCACAAGAAGAAGAAGAAGAAAGCGGAAGTTGTCTTCAGCCGCACATGTTAGCATACAGCTAAAGCTACGCAACGTATTCATGGCGTTTCTGTTATAACAAAGTTTATATAGATCAGCAGTATTGGTTAAGTTCACACCGCAGCGTGTACCTGATCTTGTTTTTGGTGTTCAGCAGTGAATGAAACTTTCAGGCGTTAAGTTGATACCCAGAAGCCTGGAGCGATCAGAAAGCCGCAGGATTGTTTATTTCTCGTTTGGTCGTGATTATTAATGATTGTGTAAATCATGCAGAAGGACTCGAGAGTGATAAAGACCTCTGCGCCTCCAGTGTCTCAGATCAACGCGGAATATGTCACTCAGGTGAGTTATGAGGACTTTATGAACTCTGTATCGGTTCGTTAGTCTGCATCTGCTTGAGTTAGTGCTTATTTTATTCCTGCTTTGTGTTTCTTTCTCAAGCTTTCAAACAAATACTGGGCTCCTCATGTCAAGAACAAACTACCATTTGATTCTCAGGTGAGGCTTTGAGGTTTAATTCTCCTTTTAGCTTCAGTCTGCAGGATTTGACTTTACAGAATATATAGATCCTGAAGGTATGTTGCTTTGTGCTCATGTATTGTGACATTAAGTCAGTGAATGATCAACTTACTTTTCAAGCCTAGCTTTATTCAGAATGTGGCTTATGAACATTGACTATTTTCTATGTGCAGGTCATTGAAGACATTTATCAGAATGAGATTCTCAAATCAAAGTAAGAATCTTTGTGTTTAGTTCTTGCATTAGTGTTATAAATACTGTGATTGTTGAAGTCTGTCAGACTTTCCTCTAAGAGCTTGTTGTAGAAATCGGTGCCAGCAAAGCAGTTGTCGTCTTGCGTATTCTGCTCTGTATGAAAGTGTTTTAAATGAACGATTTGATAACTTTGGTGCATATTGACTTCGGCTGTTTCTTTTTTTTTTTTTAGGTTTGCCATCAGGAAAATTATGCTGTTGGAGTTCAGGTTGGTGGTTTCCGCACAGGTTTTGTTAGCAGCGGCTCTGTAGGACTGGTGGTTTGCTGATGTTCCTGTTGGTTTTGCAGCCAGTACCTGGAGAGCTACCTGTGGCCGAACTACACGCCTGAAGCCTCCTCTAACGGCTACCTGATGTCCATCTGCTGTATCGTCAATGAGAAGTTTCGAGAAAATGTTCCGGCTTGGGAGGTTTGTAGTAAACCGTTGATTAATGGGTAGACTGCACGGACTTCGAATGCACTGCTGTGTAAAATAAGTTACACTTCTGTACATGAATGACATCGAAAACAACACCTTCACTACTGATGCGCAAACATTTTTTTGACAAACTCTTAAAAAAAAAAAAAAAAAATCTGATTTAATTACTGAAAGTATTGAAAATGAAAACTGTACTTTCAGATCTGGTGTTTTGGTAAAAGTTTAGTTTCGGTGCATCACTACCCATTGATTCACACATGTTTGACCATGAGATCAGAACAGACTTCAGATCCACAGTAACAGTTTGATCAAAATGAACAGTACTTTAAAAAGTGATCACAATTTGAACACTGGGAGCCTGTTAAAATGCTAATTCTAACGGGTCTAATAGGACATTTGATATCATTGGTTCATCATGTGACTTCCTCTATACCACCTGTGTTTTTAAGGTGGTTGTCAGTGTATTTTAAAGGTAAAAAAAAAATTGGCGTAATAACAATATTTCTGTTAATTATATACTATATATATATTAGTTTAAAAAGAAATTAAGGTTAATCTGTTAAACTTCTTGAATTTTTATTTATTTAGCTATTTTCAAGGTAAAGCTCTGACAACCAGGGGTGCTGGTTTTAATCATAATTTCACAGATTTTTTTTATTGAATTATTTATGCGCGTTTTTTGCAGGCGCAGGTAGATAGCATTAAGTGTGCTTTGATGTGAGTGCACTGTTTCTGTCTCTTCAGGTTTTTAAGAAAGCACCCACACACTTCCCTCACTTCTTCAAGTGCGTGATGGAGTCGTGTCTGTCGGGCGAGCAGCTCGGCCTGCCGCTGAAGGAGCAAACAGTGCTTCTGCTCTTCCTCGATCACTGCTTCAACAGTCTGGTTAGTTACCAATCATTAGCAATTGTTAAAGGGGTCACGCTCGCTCGCTCTCTCTCACGGTGTTAGAACGAGCCGTTTTAGGGGGGCGTGGCAGAGTCTTAACTTTGATAAAGAATATCTCTTTGGTTTTGAGACTTTAGTCTTTGCAACTTCAGGGATCTTATCTATGCACAATCAGCTTGTAACACTCCAAAGAGAAAGGAGAACTTGAAATCGCATCATATGACCCCTTTAATAACCGCCTATATTTGGGCCACTTTTCTAAAAGCGTTTGCTACATGACCTGTTGTTTTCTGGGCACATCACTTGGTGGCACTGGAGGTATACTGCCACCCACCCTCAGAGATCTTCATTTTAAGGATGCTCCTCATGTTCTCAATAGGATTGAGTTCAGGGGATTTTTTTCTCTTTTTATGCCCATAGCAATCATGGAATCAATGTTTTTTTGCTGAATTAAAATAATTATTTCGAATGGCACGATTCTTCTTTCTATACCATAGCAGAAAATGGTCTGTTAGGAACTACACATATCTTGCAGAGGTCGTTTTGACACTGTCAGGGACCCTAAAGGGACCTACCATCTCACTTGCCAATATTCCAGCCCAAATCATCACTCCACCACCTCTTTGCTGACGTCTCAGTCTTGTTGAAACAGAGTGGCCATTCACCAACCATCCAGAACTCCATCCATCTGGACCATCAAGTGTAGCACAGCATTTGTCAGTGAAAAAAACTGATTGAAAATTAGTCTTCATGTAATTCTGAGCCCATTGCAAACGTTTCTCTTTGTGAGTTTTGGTTAGGGGTGGTCGAAATGCAGCTTTATGCACATCACAACGGCCAGCCTCTGAAGGATCCTGCATCGAGAGGTTTTTGGGACTCCAGCAGCTTCAAATACCTGTTTGCTGCTCAACAGTGGCTTTTTTATAGCTGCCCTTTTAATAACATTAATTTGTCTGACAGAAACTTGTCTTAATAAGCCTTTATCTGATAATTCTTCTGTGCTGTGAATCACTCACAGATCTTTTGACAGTTCGATGATCTCTTCAGTTTTCGTGATATATCAATTGTTTTCATGCCTGTTGCAAGACATTGCACTATTTCACGCTTTTCACCTTCAGAAAGAGCTTTCTTTCTCCCCATATTGCATGAGAACTGACTTGCTTAATAATGTGGAACAACCTCTTTAAGTAGGTTTCACTTTAAAGGGGTAATTCACTGTTTTTTTTCCTAGGCTTGATTGTGTTTATGGGGTGCAGTCTAACATGTTAATGCTTAGTTTAAAAAAAAACAACAACATTATTTTCCTCGGAAATAGGTGATGGGCTCTGATTGGTTAGCTAGCCCAGTGTGTTGTGATTGACTAAACCGCCTCTAGTGTGCGTCTAAACATCCCGCCCCTCACCTCAGCGGCATGTGCTCCGGTTGTATTGTAAACGATGGCATCGTTAATATCGCTTATCAGTTTGAGCCCGATTGAGAAGCAGAGGATATTATTGAAGAGGATCGTGCAGAACCTGTGCAAGCACGGCTTTTAATGGTAGGCCTATGTTTTCACCAACGAAGGCTCCGTAACATCCAACCTATAAAATCTGACAAAAGTGTGTGGCGAAGCCCAGGTCGCCGCTGCACAAAGGTCTTGAATTGAAATGCCCTTAAACAACGCCCCCGAGGTGGCTAACCCTCGGGTACTTTGAGCCATCAGCCCCTCTGGAGGACTAAGACCCATGCTATTATCAGGGAACTCAATATAATAGCTTCCACCACCCAGTGGGACAGGTGCTGATGAGAGATAGGTTTACACTTATGAGAATCAGCCCATGAAACAAATTACCGATTATTCCTTCTTAATCTCTTCGTCCTGTCCACCAAATTTCTTCCGGGCAAGGAAAACATTTTTTTATGAGGAAAAAAACGGCGGATGAAAAGCCAGTAAATCCACCTGTCTACAGGCGAAAGCTGACTCTTTAGGCACAAATGCTGGATTCGTCTTGAGTTACTCGCGAAAAATCCAAAGCAAACAGCATACAGGAGTTATGAACCGACAAAGCATGAAGTTCACTAACTCGTTTCGCGGTCGAATGAGTCAATAACAAAGCAACCTTAAGCGAAAAGAGCCTTAAATCAATATTGTCTATTGGCTCAAAAGGAGGCTGAGAGGGTGCGTTAAGGAGCACCGACAGCTCCAACGGCGGAATCAGCGGCTTTGAAACCCTATTCAGACGCCGCTCACCCCTCATAAACCTGCACACAAGCGGGTGCTAACCTATTGTATTTCTGTCAATCCCTACATGGCATGCAGAAATTACGGCAAGATAAACTTTAACAGTAGAGAAGGCTCTGCCATTATCTAAAAGTTCTTGCAGAAAACATAACACTTCTGCTACCAAACAGTGAAAAGGAACAATTTGCCTTTGCTCGCACCAAAGCTCAAACACATTCCATTTGCCATCATATGCAGAGTGCGTCGAAGCCACTCTCGCATTTTGAATCATTTCAATTACCCTCGGAGGCAAACCTGTAACACTTAAATTCAACCTCTCACGGGCCAGGCCCAAAGAGCCACTTTGTCCGGTGCCGGGTGAAAAATCTCTCTGCGCGCTTGTGAGAGAAGGTCTCTGTGTAACGGGAGAGGCCAAGGCCAATCGTGCAGGAGCTAGAATATCTCTGTCAGCCACAAGTTCCCTGGCCAGTTCGGAGCGATCAGTATTACTGAGTGACCGCACTCTCCTACTCTTTTTAGAGTTGGTACGATCAGACTCAGTGGAGGAAATGCGTAAAGCAGTACACTTGGCCATGGGTAAGCCAAAGCATCCACACCCATAGGTGCACCGTTTCTCGCCAGAGAAAAGGATAGACCCCCCCCCCCCCTTGCGATTTATATAAGCCACCGCTGTTGTGTTGTCTGATCTGACCAAAACGTGGCGATTCCGTAGGAACTGCACGAAATGTTTCAATGCTAGAAACGCCGTTAACAATTCCAGGAAGTTTATATGTGCGTTCTGTAGCGAGACGGGCCATTTTCCTTTCCCTATTTTGCCCTCGCACACTGCACCCCAACCTGTGAGCGACGTATCCGTCGTTACTACTTTTCTCAGAGAAATCGCTCTCCCAGCAGAGTCCCTGATTCGAGAAAAGCGTGATCTCTCGAGCAGCGGAGAGCTCGCAGGCAATTTGATGACACTATCACTTTGCGGTTGAGGTGGCGCTTTGGACAGAAGCGCTGTGCTGCTACCCAGCACTGAAACTCTCTCATTCGCAACAGCCCCAATGGGATGACAGACACTGCCGAGGCCATCAGCCCTAGAAGACGTAAACGTAGTCTGAATGGGACTTTTTTCCCTATCTGGAAAAAGGAGAGACCTCCACGAATTGACCTGATGTGCTCCTCTGATAGAAACGCTTGATACAGGTCTGAGTTCAGCCTGAGACACGGGCAAAATATTTCTTGTGTGGGCACTAAGCAGCTCTTCGTCTTGTTTATTTTGAAGCCTAAGCCTTGTAAATGAGACACCAGCAGATTTATAACTTATCTCCGCCTGTCGCCAAATAAGCTGACTCGGAGACACGCTATTCTCAGCGGTGTTAGAGCCACCTCTACACATTTTGTGAAAGTTCTTGGGGCTAAAGCCAAACCGAATGGAACTGTCAAATTCGTAGGTTGTGCCCTGATAGGCAAACCTAAGGAATTTTCTGTGTGCCGGATAAATATTTATGTGAAAGTAATCGTCCTTCAGATCTACTGATGTAAACCAGTCTCTGGGATGAATAACATTATACAATGTTTTTATTGTGAGCATTTTGAACTTGTACTTTCTGAGGTGTTTGTTGAGGTTCCGCAAATCCAGAATGGGACAGAGACCCCCCCCCCCCCTCTTTTGGGAATGACAAAGTACCGGGAGTAAAAGCTGTGCTGGCTGTCCTCCCGCAGCACCACCCGAATTACTCTTTTGCTCAATAAAGAGATTATTTCCTCCTCTAAAATCCGAGCTGACTCCCCTTCTGCTGTTGACATTAACACACTGTTGAAAAGTGGAGGTTTTACAGCGAACTGCAGACGATAACCCCGTTCTATCGTGGATAATACCCAAGGGTGTACGGCGCATGTGCGCCAACTCTCAGTGTGAGCAGAGAGTGGACCGCTGTGGCTCTCGCTCACTGATGGCGGGGTGGACCTGGGGGTTGCAGCTCTGATCTGGGAGTATTTGTGTGTATTTTTGTTTTTATTTTCACACAAATCTGTGCCCTTGGCCAAGATGGCCAAGTGATGAGTGCCATTTTACAAACATGTATAACGCAGATTTGAATGTTCTGGTATGATTTTTTTCAAAGGTTTAATAGATACGGGCGAATCGTTATCATTTAGAAATTAGATCGTGTGGGTGTTTGAATCAAGATCGTGATCTTTTAATGATTATTCATGCAGCTCTAGTGCAGATACTGATATTTACAGTGGGGGTGGAGGACAGAGGAGCCTCTTAAAGAAGAAGTTACAGGTCTGTGAGAGCCAGAAATCTTGCTTGTTTGTAGGTGACCAAATACTTATTTTACCGAGGAATTTACCAATTAATTCTTTAAAAATCCTACAATGAGATTTTCTGGATTTTTTTTCTCATTTTGTCTCTCATAGTTGAGGTATACCTATGATGAAAATTACAGGCCTCTCTCATCTTTTTAAGTGGGAGAACTTGCACAATTGGTGGCTGACTAAATACTTTTTTGCCCCACTGTATATGATGCAATTCTGATGCTTGTAATGTAAATCAATGATCTTAATAACAGTACAGCAGATACTTACATAAAATTATATAAATATCAGTCGTCACTTGTCAGTCACTCTATATCTGCAATATTTTAGTAAGTTGAGATTTAAATGATCAAACATATAATGCACTGCAATCAAATGATGATGGAGAGATGAGCAAATAAACGTTCCTCAAAAAATCAGATTTGAGACTCACTAATTTTTCTAAAAAATGATAGAAAATCACATGAAGCAGCAGCTGAAGGTGATGTTTGGACAATTACACTAAAAGATATTGCCTGCATTTGTGCTACAAGTTAAGATGTGGCTGATTTCTGTTACCCATAAGGCCTCAGTCTTCCTGCCGCCCCTCAGGCAGTGATTTATTTTTGCTTTGAGAATCTCTCCATGTTTTCACCATCCTGTGATGTGACCCAGCTTCAGAGCAGCTGCTGCTCGCCCGCGGGCACCTCTCACCGCTCCGCTAACGCAGGCCGACGTGCCCTCCTCCCTTCATCCACCTGTTCGGGCCGGAGATGGTGTGGCACACAAGAGGCCAGCGCATCCCGTTTATGAGACCATCATAATATTGTCACTCTCTCTCTTCACTGCTTTTCCCTCCGAACCCAGATCCACTGTCCACCCCAGAATGCAGAGTCTGTCTGTCTGTGTGAAATGAGATGTGTCATCACTGATTTAATGTGTGTTTTGTGGTTCATGTTGCTCTAGGCACCGTCTCCATGGAGAAGGTTCACTACTGTGAGAGATTCATTGAGTTCATGATTGACCTGGAGGTGAGTTGGCATTCCAGCATTTGTTCTGATGCTGCTTTCGGTTTTTCTCATTATGATAAAGTCAGCATGAAATGAAAATTCTAAATGCATGTTATAGATCTTACTGTGAACTATTAATCCGTGCATTTGTTTCCTTTCTAAACATTTTTGACGATGTAATGTTTTTTTTTCGTTGTTTTAGTTGTTGCATTTTAGAGTGATAAGTGAAGGCAACATTGCACTGTTTTTTAAAATTTTTTAAATCTTTTTCTGACACAAAGAGAGAGGAAAAAAGTGTTATAATAATAGATGTGTATGTTTGTGGAGGTAGTTATATATGTACATGAAATACAGTGGTGGCCAAAATCAGCAAAAGATAGAAATAACTGACTTAAAACCATTTTTTAGCTGGTGAAAATCCCCGGTAGATAGAACTAGTGTTCTAATCATTTTGGCCACCAGTGTACATACGTAAAAAAAAAGTCACAAATTGACATTACATTAGCATTAGACTTCAGTCTGGTGGCGTATGCAGGACTTCATCCTCTCAAACCCCGCTCCTTATGTTCATCTGCCTCCACTTTTGAGTGACACACCCACATCTTAACATCCAATCAACAGCCGATACATAGAAATAAGCCGGCCTCACATTTGTACTTTTCTGATAATCCATTACACTCGGATGTGCATCAGAATACAGAAGAGAAGATCTGTCACTTTGTCCATTGCATCGCGACTTGAACATACTTCTAACCTTGCCCGTCTTTTCCAGGCTCTCCTCCCGACTCGCCGCTGGTTCAACACAGTGTTGGATGACGCTCATCTGGTGGTCAACTGCCAGCTGTCTCACCTCACAGACAGGGAGAAAGAGGGTCACCTCTTCTGCCAGGTACAGCACTGAACACACGCGCTTCCTCTTTTTGTTCCTCTGTAGTTAGTCGCTTGGTCAAATTGTGCATCCCTGCAAACAAGCACAGCGAACCTGGATTTTTATAGTTTTTAAATGGCGCAAACAATTTTTTTTTTGCATAAAAATCAGTACATTTTCCCTCAAATTGTACAGCCTTTTCAACCACTGCTGCTAATTAGGATTTTTCAATTATTAATTAAACTTATGATTATTGTCATTTTATTACAATAACGCCTTTCTGCAAACATAGGGATGCTTTACAATTCGTAGCGTTCAGTCACGTGACCGGCTCGAAGACCTGGAGGGCAAAACATCCATAGAACTGCAGGACAAGCCTGTCAATTTTCCATCTGTTTCACAGCCGCAAATATTTAGATCACCTCTCAAAAGAATAA